ACCTACTTCTCCCAGCATTCCTCCTCTCAGTAAAGGGTTGCCCAAACAAAACTTTGCAATCATCCCTGACTCTTTATCATGTCTTCCACTCTAATTCAAGCCACCATCTTCTCTCACCAGGACTACTGTAGTAGTCTTCCAGTTGGGCTATCTCTACCCTTACCTTCCTTCAATCTGTTCTTCACACCAGCAGAGTAATCCTGTTTGAAACAAGTCAGACCATGCTGTTTCTCAGTTTAAAAGCCTCCAAAGGTTTTATAACTCATTCATTTATTCAACAAATATTCACTGCATACCTACTATGTGTCAGGCTTTATGATAGGCAATGAAAAAAAAATCCTTGCAGAGCTCACATTCTACTGGGGGGTAACAAACATACAGTATACTATAAGTGCTATAGAGAAAAAAGTGGGTAGGAAATGTATAAGTAAGCATGCTGTTAGTGATGGTAATTTTAAACAGATAATTAGGGAAGACCTCTCTGATAAGGTAACTTTTGAGCAGGGACTTTAAGGGATAGAGCCATGCAGACATCTGAGGGAAGATATGCCAGGCAGAATAACAAGAGCAAAGGCTTTGAGGCAGGGATCTACATGGTAAATTAAAGGAACAGGTAATGAGGGAACCATTGTGACTAGTCTGGAGTCAAAGACTGACAGAAGAACAGGAAATACAGTCAGTTTGTAAAAGATAAAAACCAAAGTATATATAATAGCATTCAAGGCTCTAGATCTGTACTATCTAAACAATAGTCACTAGCCACATATGGTTATTAAAATTTAATTGAAATTCAAGTAAAATTTGAAATTCAATTCCTGTTGCACTAGCCACATTAGAAGAGCTTAATAGCCACATGTGGCTGATGGGTACTGTACTGGACAGCACAGATAACAAACTTTTTTTTATCATCTCAGAAAGCACTTTGACAGGTGGCTCTTTAATGGGGTGATTTTGCCTCCCAGGTGACATCTGGCAATGGCTGGAGGTAATTTTCGTCGCCACAACAGGGGAGAAGGTGCTACTGGCACCTAGTGGGTAGAGGCCAGGGATGCTGTTAAGGATTCTACAATGCACAAGACAAGCCCCACAACAAAGAATTGTCCTGCCCCAAATGTCAATAGTGCTATGGCTGAGAAACTCTGCTTTAGATCAGTCTTGACTGCAACTCTAACCACATTGCTCATTGCCTCTTCCTTGCTCAAGCTGCTCCAGCCTCCTGGCCTCCTTACCTGCCAAGCACATCCCTCCTTCCTCAAAACCTCTACTGTTGCTTTTTCCCAGAACACTCTTCTCTTGTGGTTTACTTGCACTCTCTTCTGATCTTTCCTTCAATGTCACTGAGAGAAGCCTTTCTTTACAACCTGTATAAAAGAGTAACATTCTCTCCATCCCCCTCTTGCTTTGTTTTTCTCCATAGCATCTCCTGCAAGTATACATACTTTTTTGTATGTTTTCTGACTGTTTCTTCCCACTAGAATGCAGCACCAAAGGACTTGCATCTGTCCCTAGTACAGCACAAAGAACTGTAACTGCAAGTAGTTATGTGCTCAATAAATACATTTTTAAAAAATGAAGCAATGAGTGAAAGACAAGGTTGAGCATGTAGTCCTACGCTAACATATATAAGCACTTACTATTATCTTGTCATCTCCTTACTTGCAACACTCCCAAAAGCTCCTTGAAGAATGTAGGTGTCATTTCTCTGATTCTTCAATACCTAGCATAGTATGCACTCATTAATGCTTAATGAAAAATAAATTGGTATCTGTTGAGTAAATGGTATTCCAAATAACATCCACTGGCAAATTAAACATGTTTTGCGTGTCCGGCTGAAAGACTATTTTTATAGCATATTTTATGACTGGGATTTAGCTATGACATTTTAAAAATGTTAAATATGCTCACAGGGATCTGCAGATGTGTACATTTCAGCTATTAAATGGCAATAACCTAGTTAAATGTTAACTTACCTAAAATATGGCTAAAAAATAGAAGCAGATAGAGGCAAGTAACAATGTGTTTAAGTCTGATTGCTCTGTCCAGCCGAGAATGACTTTTTCTCTCGTCAATGTGGGTTGCTGTCATACTAATAGTGATAACAGCTAACAAGTACTGAGCTCTTACTAGGTGCCAGGCACTGTTCTTACCTCTGCCCCCACAACCCTATTAGGTAGGTATCTCTATTAGATCCATTTAGAGATAGGAAACCGAGAGACAAAAAGGCTAGGGAGCTTGCTCACAGTCTCAGTAAGTAAATAGCGGAATAAAACCCTGGCAATCCGGCTCCCAGAATCCCCAACCTCAAACCGCACGCGATACTACTAAGGCCGAGCCAGTAACATGGGAAATGGGGGAAACTGACGATCCCAGCCCGTTAGAAAGGAAAGTCAGCTGGAAGGCGGGCAGGCATGGGATAGAATAGGTGATATATATATATATATTTTTTTTTCATACTACAATGTTAAACAAAACCAAAATATCTTAATTTACCTAACTTAATATCAAGCTACCGGCTCACCCAACTCAGAAGTAACCGCTGAGGACTTTCAAGCTCTCCCGGGGGCCGGGCCCGCGGGCGAGGAGGAGCCGCCTCCATTGGCCGGCCCCGGGGCATCACGGGAGCTCGCCGTGCGCCGGGGCCTCCGCGCGCTTCCCACGCACCTGCACTTGCGCAGGCCTCCAAGGCGCTCTTTTGGAGGAGGGACTTCGGCGGAGTTCAGGGCTTTTCTTTCTGTAACCAGCTCCCTTGTGGAGGGTCGGTGGTCTCCGAGTAAAAGCAGCTCTTTCCATCAACGGTAGGATTTCGCTCCGTCCGGCCAGCCCGGAACCTCAAGTCGGAGCACCGTATTTCCTGATTGACTGCCTTGGCAATCACTTCCGCTCAGGGGTTTGGAATACCTGAGACCCTTCCGCGGCGAACAAGAAGAGAAACACTTCCGGTCTCTGTTGCTAAGGCACGGGCCCGGTGGGCCGTAGAGACGACATTATTGGTGTCGTCCTCTCCCCCCTTCCCGGGGGTCGAGATGTCGGGGCTGAGCTGCTCAGAGATGGAGGGCTGTCGTAACCTGCTCGGCCTACTGGACAACGATGAGATCATGGCCCTATGCGACACCGTCACCAACCGCCTGGTGCAGCCTGAGGACCGGCAAGGTGAGAGAACAGACCCTACACCCCGAGGGCGGACGCCCCTCCCCAGCCCTCACCCCGACCCAATGTTAAGGGAGCGTGGGAGTGGAGGGGGTTCGAGACCCAACCCCCAGTTCATCCCCAGCCGCTCTTGGGCAGAATCCTGGCCACTCCCGCTGCTCCGCGGCTTTGGAACCAAGACGCAGACTTGGGCGGCGGGGGTCGCGTTGGGCCCCTGAGAGAGATGGTGGCGCTGACAATGGCGCAGTCTCCAGGTTATAGCCATTAAATGTTATGAGCAAAAGCTTGTTGGTTCGAGGTTTCGTAGTGCCTCAATAGTTATCTCTTAAAATTTCCGGGGAGCCAGAATGTTTTATATTTTCAGTTTCGATCAGCTGAGCTGTTCAGGCTTTTTTTCTTCAAGCTTGAGGGGAAGAGGATATCATACACACTTTTCATCAGTCTCTGGTGAAACAGCGACTGTAATAGAAAGACAGTTTGAGTTCGTGTCTCCTTTTGGAGCCAAAGTTTTTCTGAGATGATTTTGTGTTCTAGGAATACATTGTTTTCAGAGTCAAATATACGAGTACATTAGGGCAGAGTAAGATTTCAAGGGTTATTAATATTGAACCTGTTTGTGCCTAGTTCGTATAAAAATATAAAGTTTGTCTCACTTTGTGCATCACACTGCTAGTTTTAAATTTACTGAATTTTACTTTAAAATGTTCCAGATTCATATATTTGTATATGATTTAAGTGTCTTCAAAAAATTCTCCCTTTTGAAACGATTTCTCTGCTTTTAAGTCGGGTTTACATTTTTGTCATTTGTAACTTGGAACCATGAACGTAAAAGAAATTCGTAAGAATTTAGACTGAAAATAGTTTGAGACATTGTTCTTCAGCATTTATATATTTTACATGACATGTAATGTAAATCGTGGTGATTTTTACGATCATGGTGAGTGTGAATTTAAAATTGTATTATATAAAATATTGGATTTAATTGATAGTGGATCTAAATGCAAATAAAGAAAAAGTGAAAATTTCCCAGTACAGAAATGTTTAAATGACCTTTTTCCAGGAAAGAAGAGACATTTCTCCAGTAAAAAAATAACCAATAAGCATATGAAAAGATTTTCAACTTTAGAAAGCACTGAAATGAAAATCAAAAACACAAGGTGTCTTTTCTATGTACCAGATTGGCAAAAATTTAAAAATATAAACCTCAGGTGTTGGTCAGGTGAAGCAATGCTTTGACACCTAATGAAGGAATGTAAATTAGAACTACCACTTTAGAAAATAAGTTTGGCATTATCTCCTAAAATAGAAGATAAGACACATACTCTAGACTTAGGTTTCTCAAACTTGAATGTGTCTTTCAATCCCTTAGAGATCTTGTTAAGATGCAGACTCTTGATTCAGTAGTTTTGTTGTAGGCCCAGAAATTCTATATGTCTAACAAGCTCCCAGGTGATGCTCATGCTGCTTGCCTTTCTGTGTACACTGGGAAATATGTATGAGAATGTTCAAAGTAGCAGTGTTTGTAATAGGACACACACAATAAAAATCTATAATCAGAAGAATAGGTAGATACCTAGTAGCATAATTAATTATTGTATAACAGTGAAAATGAGTTAACTATAGCTACATACACCCATATAGATTAATCTCAAAAACATTAAGTGAAAAGCTGCTTCCAAAGATTATATATATTGATGGATTGAATTTATAGAACATTTAAAACATACCAAACTATATTGTATGCTGATACATGCTTATATTGTACAACTATAAAGAAGAACAAGGGAAAAATAAACATTTTGGATAATAGCTACCCTGTGAGGAGAATAAGAAGAGAGAGGAACAGCATTAGGGAGGTGTGAAATGAGAGCCTCAAAGATACTCGTAATTTGCTATGTCTTAAGCTAGGAGGTGTGTGTATGGAAGTTCATTTTATTGCCATTCTGTATACCTCACACATGTCAAAAATATTCTTCAGTCTGTGTTTAATATAAAGTTTTTAAAAATTAAAAAACATACAAGTCCAGGTTCTGCCACTTCTAAAAATATGATTATTGAAACGTCATGTATCCTCAACTTTCATTATTCATAGAGTGAGGATGTTGGACTAAAATTCCTTGACATCTAAAATATTGTAATTTTACCTGTTTTTAGAGGTTTTGTATCTGAATTTAGGTCCATTGGCCTTTTAGAAAAAAAAATTCTGGCTTACAATTTTTGTTAAGACAATTCTTTAAGAGGAAGTGCTAGAATTTCACTGTCACATATAGGAAGTGAAAGGAAGGGGGAATTTTAGGTAATGAAAGTTTACAGCATAAAGGAATTGGGGGGGGGGACTTGACAACCCAATTCCTGTTTTTAAAAACAACATGCAAAAGCAATTAATGTTGTGACAAGAGTTTATAAATATTATTTGGTAGTTTCTGTTGACCTTTGACAAATTTACAAGTGCTTCATGATTTTATATTAATCTTTGCAATTTCCCTCTAGATGCCATTCGTGCAATTTTAGTGTATAGTCAAAGTGTAGAAGAACTTCTGAAGCGTAGAAAAGTCCATCGAGATGTCATATTTAAGTACTTGGCAACACAGGGAGTTGTTATACCTCCAGCTACTGAAAAACACAATCTTATTCAATATGCAAAAGATTACTGGGAAAAGCAATCACCACTGAAATTGAAGGAAACACCAGAGCCAGTTATGAAGACAGAGGACATCCAACTCTTTCAACAGGTAAAGTAGATCTTATAGTTATATTCTGAACCTTTGTTCTGTCTGAAACTTTGTAGGTAATCTTAGATCTGGAAGAAGGTGGTTGATATATTTGTATTTTATACTTTTAACTTTACTCCATTATTCTTCTCATCCTAAAGGAAAAAAGACCAATACAGCAACTAAAAGAAAATATTTCTGACATCTAGTGATATACGTGTAATAAATATTCTGTTGATTTGTGAGGGGGGAAAAAAGTTTTTCCCCCTTATCAAATGAGAACTATTGGATTTTTAGAGAGTTAAACTGCAAGATTAATTTAATTTTGGGCTTTTGTTTTCTGTAATTTTTTTTTTTTTACTTTAAAAGAATTCTATTGTAATACAGTCTCATTTTTAAGACTTTCTTCAACTAGAAAAAATCCTGTTGTAATTTTCCAGAGCTGACATTGGCTGTTCCTATTTCTTTGTATCTCCACTGTCCATTTTAGATATTGACTGGACATTTAAATGTTGCTTGAATGAACTTTTAGGAAATTTGCATATTTTACACATTTCATATTCTTAGAATTAGTTAAGTTTTAAGTGAGGAAGCTTTGCCTTCACATTAAGAAAGTATCTTCTAAGGTCTTTCTTAATAAACTGAAAAGAGCATTGACTTTGAAATCGTATAGATGCGACTTCAAATTAGGGTCTGCCGTATACTAGGTGTGTGAACTTGGGCAAATAACCTGACCTGAGCGTTTTTTTTTTTTTTATCTATAAATTGATCATAACAATGATATCTGTATCATAAAGCTTGTTGTGAAGATAGGAGGAAAGCCCTTAAGTGCCGTATACAGTGCCCAATATATGCAATAGTAGGTGTTCAGTAAAATATGAGCTCTTTTCCCATCAGTGAGGTACTGTATTCTGGAATACGTAGGTGAATGTGATCTAGCCTGTCAGGAATGATTTTGCAGTAACATTTCCTTTAAAAAAAGAAATTATAGTATAAAATTAATCTCAATCATGGAAAATAACCTATTTCAATCACCTTAGCAGTGTCAGTTTAAAGACAGTAAAAATGCTTATTTATTTTCAACTTTATTGTGATATAATATGCAACAAAGTGCATTCAATTAAAGTGTACAGTTGGAAGGTTTGGCAGAGATACACACCTGTGAAAAAACTGACACAATCAAGAGAAAATAGTAATGTTGTAAATCATTATTATTGACCAATCATGCTGATATTTTAAGAGACTTTGTTAAACCTTACTTTCTTAGCTGAATTTTCATTTTTAAGGTAGAAAATTCTAAAATGGTTTTTCTCCTTTTTTAAAAAAAGATTTTACTATGCATGGTGGGTTCAGTGAGTTTACATGTAGTTCAGTTCCCTCTGCTGTTATCAGTACATTAAACCTTAGCTCTGAAACAGGCTAGATAGAAAAATAGATATAAAAGTTAAAACTTTGCTTTATTTTGTATTCATTTTATCTATTTTAATCAGCCGGCAAAAGAAGATAAAAAAGCTGAAAAGGTTGATTTTCGTCGCCTGGGAGAAGAATTCTGTCACTGGTTCTTTGAACTTCTTAATTCTCAGAATCCTTTTCTGGGACCACCTCAAGATGAATGGGGTCCACAACACTTCTGGCATGATGTCAAGCTTAGGTTTTATTACAACACATCAGAACAAAATATGATAGACTACCATGGAGCAGAAATCGTGAGCCTTCGTTTGCTGTCACTAGTGAAGGAAGAATTTCTTTTCCTCAGCCCCAACCTAGATTCCCGTGGACTGAAATGTGCTTCTTCTCCCCATGGGCTAGTTATGGTTGGAGTTGCCGGGACTGTCCACCGAGAAAACACATGTTTGGGCATTTTTGAACAAATTTTTGGACTCATTCGGTGCCCTTTTGAGAATACTTGGAAAATCAAATTTATCAACCTAAGAATTGTTGGAGAGGGTTCCCTTGCTCCTGGAACATTACCGAAACCAGCTATTACATTTGAACAAAGTGATCTAGAGGCCTTTTATAATGTAATCACATTATGTGGTACCAGTGAAGTACACCTTAATGTAAAGCAGTCATTGGATAGTGGAACTGGAGACCAAGCTTTATGTAGTGGAAATGAGGCATTGATGAACAAAAGAGAACTGAGTTTACCTAACCTTCTAAGGCATTGAGCTCTGTACGTTCGCCTAAAAGTCTTCTATACAGAAACTCTTCTAAATATTATATCGATAATGTCTAAGTGTTTTCAGATGTGAAGATGGACATATTTTAGTTGAAATACCTTTCTGGACTACAGACTGACATGTAAATATTTGCCTATTTCTACTTGAGTTGCACCAAATGTTCTGAGGGCTTAATGCAGTTCATCAAATAAATCCCACTTTAGATGTTACAGCTAACCATGTGCCTTAGAAACCAGGTAATATTTTCACTTACGAATATTCTGCTATTTTTTATTCCCACTTTTCACGTGGGAAAAGATTAATAGTGTTTAAGACTTTCCCTCTTTAAGTTTCTCATTTACTTTTATCTGGATAATTGGATATTTTGCAAATGCATCTCACTACAGTAATTTTTTTTTAAACTATTAAATATTTTAGAGATGTTTAATGTAAACTCAGTTCTCATTTTAGAAAACTTGAATGACATTCTTATGCAAAAAGTCCAGTAATATACCAGGTGGAGAAAAATTTATCGCCTCTTTAAATATTTGAGGAACATTTTTCAGTTATCTGCTATAGTACAAGCTAAGTATCTTTTATAGTCTGCATCATTTTTGGAACTATTTTGGGCAGTGGTAAATGCTGTTCTCAAAACAGACCTTATTCTTACCTAGGCTTCAGCTAACAGTTTTATAGAGCATTTATTGTAACATCATATAAAGGAAATATAGTGTTGAAATTTTAAAGGTGTACCCAATTCCTGACTTTTAGATCAATTACTGTTCTTCATCTTGATTGATCTTGGCAAAGGTGAACCAAAAAAAAAAAAAAAACCTTAACCCCCCAAATTTATAACATGGGTATTCATACATACATATGTATACATATACCCCTACCTCATAACTTAGAATTATTAGCAGTTTTTACCTCTAATTTGTGTTACTAGGTTTGAGTTACAAGGTTGAGTTGCCACCTGCATTACATAGTTGCTTTAAAGTTTAAATTCCTCATCACCTAACAACTATTTGCTGATCCTGGATTTAGTTAGTAATTTTATAAAAGGTACCATTTGGAAAAAAAAATTATACTGGAAAAATGCTGTGATGATGTATTGTACATGTTACTTTTTACGTATAGTTCTTCTCATAATCATCTAGGGAGACTGATAAGAATTTTGGAAGCAGGAGAAAAAACTAATCTTTTTGTTTTTTTAATGCCATGCCTCTTATGAGGAGTGCAAATTGATATGTCCTAAAATAAGAACTTAATAAAGGAGGGAAATCACTTTTGTCTGCTTTAAGAATAGTGTATTGTTTAGATTTAATTTACAGTTGTCTTGTTCTTAGATAAAGTTTTAGGCATTTAACCAAAATAAAGCAAATTTTACTGCTAGTTGGACTATAAGTGTGATATAATTAGATATAAAGAAAATAGAAGTTTGCAAAAAGTTACCTCTTATACTTTTGTAAGGTACTCGGTCAGGTCACCAGTCTTACCTTTACCTATCCTATAGCTCTGCTTGGGTTTTAAAACCAAGTTATCTTTTTTTTCATAAGCTGGAATTATCATTATAATGTGTAATAGATAAATATCCTAAGGGTAAAATTAAAACCATTTCTGTCTCTTTGTGCTGTTGCTGTCAAGTACTGTAGAAATATAACTACAGATGTTCAGAATAGGCAGATATTACCCCTAGCTATCTTTCCGTATTCAGTTTTTGAATTTGTATAAACCCTAAACAAGGCTGCAGTCTCTGCACATAGTTTTAATCAATCTTAAAGATTTGAAATCTTCTTGAGGGTTAGGGCTGTGTTTTATTTCAAGTGAATCCCCACACATGGGCACACAGAGCTTAATATTGGAATGAATGGGTGAATAAATGAGCAAAAAGAAACATACTTTGAGAAAGGCCTTTCTGCGTCTAGGTTTTATTTTTGGTGCTTCTTATCGGTGGTTTTTTGGTCATGTAGTCTGTTTTAATTTCATATGTGGATACACAGAAACTTTTAAAGTAACTCAGATTTGGTAAAACTGCACTATGCTTAAAATCCCAAGGTCAGGGGCCGGCCCGTGGCTCACTCGGGAGAGTGCGGTGCTGATAACACCAAGGCCCCGGGTTCAGATCCCATATAGGGATGGCTGGTTCGCTCACTGGCTGAGCGTGGTGCTGACAACACCAAGTCAAGGGTTAAGATCCCCTTACCAGTCATCTTTAAAAAAAAAAAAAAAAAAAAAAAAATCCCAAGTTCAGTGAATTATACCTTGAAGGGCCTAAGGCTACCTAGAAAACATGATAAGAGAAGTGCATGAGGAAACAGTATTCGGAAGAACACCTGGAGGAATTGAAATCCGTTCATGAAGCTTGAAGTCTGATTAGGCCTTTGAGAACAACCAGAAGCATAGTGCAAGGATTGAACTGTACTTTTACTACCACCTCATTAGTCTGTTTATATTAGGGAATGGCAGAGACCCCAGCTTTAGGTCTGTCTCTTGCTTTGTTGTACCCAACTGGTATTTGGAAAGTCTGGAATCAGGTGGTGAAGAATACATTGCTTTACACATAATTCATAATAATTTGGTGGTCCAACTAGGGGATCATCTGGACTTTTTATTTGCTGTTGGCTGATTTGCCATAGCTCAATAACAGGGCAGATATCATTAAGTATACTTTTTTATTAAAATAAAATCTTAAAGTAATATTTACATTAAGATATTTTATTAGTATCTAGAATGCCAAATAACATATTTCATATGGCTTATTAACTGAAATACCAAACTATAGGAAAAAAGTCAATCTCTAATATATTAAGTCTACTTGCAAAAGGTAAACACGATAGCAGGTAGGAAAATGTTCCTGGGTTTTCAGAAAGGTGATACTTTATACTAAAGGAAAGCTAGATACCTAGTCACAGTAAGAAATTTTGGAAGTACCAGAAAATAATTTAAAAAGCAGTGGTCTAAAAATAAAGATAATCAGAAACATTGTGTTTTGTCATAATGACTCTTATGGCTAAGTAGATCATAAAAATGAAAACCATACGTTTTTCTTAGGATTTCTATTTTCACAAATTATAATGCCCTTTTCTTCTTTGGTTCTTAATTTGGGTTGTGAGGGGTGGTCATCGACCTTTTGAAAAATGAGAGGTATGTTCTTTCTCCCCAGAAAAAATATTTTAGCATATAGTATTAGAATTTTTGCATATATCAATGAGTTATTGGGCCTCCCTAAAGCACATCTGTGAGTGCTATAAACATCCCTATACCCTGTGTTAAGAAATTCTGCCATAATAGTTACATTTCACCCAGACTAAAAAATTTTTTATAAAATTTGTTATATTGCTCAAGTATGTAAGTGAGAGGACTAAATCTTTCTCATGAATGAAAGGATAATCTGTAGGAAATCTGTTTATGATAGTTGTTACTTGTGAATGATGTTAGGTGTGAAGACAAAACCTACCGAAATACTGTGAAGTGGGACAAAAATATTCAGAATTCATTTTATTTTGATAAGATTAGTGAATAATGAACATGCTTTGGAGAATGATAAAAATGTGGAAAAAAAAAAAGTATCCTCAGGATTTTTACAAAAATTTTATCCTAAAAAGATTTTTATTAACTATAGCTAATTTTGATTAAAGATTTTAAAAATGTGAATATTCTGTACGGCGTATATATGTGATCCCACCTTACACCACTCTCTTCCACCTATCTCCCACCCCCCACAACCCTGTTTATAACCTTTGTGTCTACCCAGTTTAGACAGATAACCCCAGCTGCAGTTTTAGGAAACAAGAATTTCTGGATCTGGGTTCTACCTGAGTTTATGTTGGATTCAAATCTCAATCTCTGGGTTTAGGTTGTCTTAAAGTGAGAACTTCTGTAAGGTTTGGAAGGATTCAGATAGATCCTTAACTTTTATATAATCAGAAAAAAGTTTTAATTGGAATTGTTAAATAATCTTATGGCTCTAGTTTAAGACATAGATTTTATCAATCAGAATATAGAATATTTTGACAGACTGTTTTATTTAGAGCTGGAAGGAGAAGTTTCCAAACTATCAGAATGTGCTAAAAGGTTTCAGCTTTATTTTTTCTAGTCTGAACCTTCCCAGTAGTCTTTCAGTAAAGCATTAATATTAATACTGGTTGTGATATATACTGTGTGTGTGTATATATGTATATAAAACCATAAACTCCAGAAGTACTTGTGTTAATCATGAAGTCACTGGCCTAGAATTTGGTACCTCTTAAATTCTGTTCCCAGTACTGTTAAATCTCCTTATTGCTTTTTTTAGTGAGTCATTTAGTGAGGCTCTTTGGTTAGCAGTTTTCTTTGGTTATAGTTTTTATCTTCAGTTTGTAGACATTCTAAATCTCAAGTATGAAATTCATTGCATTTGAACTAATAAATTTAAGAATTGAAGGAAAAATCACCTACTGCCAGCTGTGTTACCTGGTTTGATGTTTGCTGAACAAAAAACTACTTAGGAAAGCCTTTTCCTTGAAACGTTTAGTTTAAAAGTCTGCATTAATCTTTTCTTATCTTTTGTTGATTACATGTAAGTTACTTTTGCCTCCCTAAATTGTAAATACCTAGAGTGGGAGATTCTTACCTTTTTGCCATTTCCCCAGTGTTATGCACAGGATAAATAATAGCTAAATTTGGGGTGATTACAATATGCCATTACTTTTCTGTGTACGTTTCATGTATTCATTCATTTGATCCTGCTTACAGCCAAATGAGATTGATACCATTATTCCTCTTTTACTGGAAAACAGGGTTGAGTAAGTTTTCAAGCTGTCATAGGTAATGGTAGAACCTAGATTTAAACCCAGACATTCAAGCTCAAGAATCACATGGTAACTACTATGTTATCTTTCCTCTTATATGGAGTAAGTTTTTGATGAATCCTTTTCAATTAAGTATCTTCAACAAAGGTTGTTATTTGCTGGCATTTATTTCCAAAGCAAGGATGCCTTTAATCTGTATTTTTATCTAACTACAGAGTAAGTAAGAATTAATGTCATACTGTATTCCACTTGTAATTATACCTTGAGTTGCTCATTTAGTGATTGAAAATCTCTTGAAGAAAAAATACAGAATATTCATATAAAACAATGTTACTTATGAAAAATAGTATAAAGGTAATTGGGTAATATAAAAATATACTTAACAATTTATATCAAATTTCTTGAGCTCACTATCTCACTACAATCTCTAGTCCTCTTCCCTTCCTGTTTATATGACACCATTGTGCTTTCAGTGTCAGATAGTCTTTGTTCAATATGTTCAATTTCTTGCCACATCTGGATGTAGTATATCTGTAGTATTGTTTTCTATTTTAGCTGCTGCTGTAATTAGGCCCTCTTTACCTAAACCTTCACTCATTTACTTCTCTGCTTTAATATATTTTACACATTTGTGAAAGACATTAAAATTCCCTTAAAGTACAGCTTTCGTCATAACTTTTGTGCTCAAAACTTTCAGTGGTGTGTTGCATTACCTCCAAAATAAAGTGCAGATGTCATACTTTGGTTTTCATCACCACCTAGGTTTGAACCCACTCATTTTCATGCATTACTTGGTGCAGCCAACATGTACTACTAAGTAATCTTTGTATTTACCCTGTGCTTACTTAGCCCTCTGCTTTTATACCCAAGTAACCAAAGTTGTGTAATTTAATTTTTATTTTTTTGTTATAGGCAGTCTGATAATATAGAAAGGAAAGGACTATGATTCTAACAGTTAATAACAGAATTTCTTCAATAAGTCAAACTTTTCTTCTCTAGGGATTTTGTGTACATTTTCTGTCTAGAATAATCTTTCCCAAGCTTTTTGCACAGCTACTTCATTTTCATCTTTGAGGACTTGACCTAAATGTTTTCTCCTCTAACTAAATAAACCTTAGTATTTATCAGAGCATCTTTTTTGTTTCTATCTTAGCACTTTAGATATTATTATTTGTTAATTTACTAATTTATTATTTATCTTCCCCACTAGATTTTAAGCTGAGAATAGGGACTATAACTGTTTCACTTACATTGTATTTTTATTGCTTTGCACAGATGTTTGATATTCAATAGATATTTATTTATTAAAGATAGAAATAAGGAAATGTTACTTTTTATTCAGGGCCTTATATATTCCAAAACCTTTGCCTAACTGTTAAAGACAGTGTCTAGCAATATATATTAGGTGCTCAATAAATATTTAATGATTAAAGCCAAAGTTAGCTTCTGGGATGATGATATATAAAGTTCTAATACAATCAACAACACTCTGCAGATAGAATTATCTAGATCTTATTAAGCTTTTGTGAAAGATGAAGAAACTAAGGCCCCAAAAGCTAAGTAACATGCTGAAGTTTATGTAGTTTTTTTGTTGTGGAGGTCTTATCTCTGGCCTTTTTTTGGTTTTATTTTCTTTTTAAACTATAAAGCCTATGTTTTTTTCTTGCACTTTGTTTCCAGTCCAACTACTGCAACTACCTTATTTTGATAGAATTTAAACTCTAATCCTCAGTTTCTTCACATGTAAAAGTTAACCAGCTGGATCAGCTGATTTTGAAGATATGCTGTGATTTTAAAGTTATAGGGTATTGTGATTGCATGCCTTCTCTAAC